GGAAAAAAAAATGGAAAAAAGAAGGGAAAAGAAGAGTACGGAAAACAAGGTCCAAAACGCAAAGAGAAGGGTAGAAGATCCGCAGAGGAAGCCGGGACAAGATCTGGATAACAACAAAGCAACGAATGCAAAGAAGAAACCTAAACTGGTAAATATGGATAAGAGGAAAAGGACAAAAGCTTCATCTTGATTGCCCAAACGTTATACGATTCCTGGACAGGCTCACTCAGCGCAATTTTCCTTAGTCAATGTAACAAACACATTAAGGCCGCCAGGATCTACCTTCATGACTTCCACGCTTGTGGCCATTCGAACATCACTGATATCTGCTCACACTTTTTGAAGAACACAAGTCCATTCACCCACTGCACAGTTCTCAAAAGTGGTTCGCTCTCAGTCTTCTCCACTTGCACTCCAAGCGACACGTGACTCTCCCGATATCGATCATCTACATCGATGCCAGCGTGCCACGATGTATACACTCCAAGTCTCATGCCGCAGAGACCGACAAACACTCCACAGGCTGTGCCTGACTCTCGCGCACTTGCAAGCTGGAGAGGCATTCCGGTGCGTATGGCTTCCACAACCGACTCAGCCATAAGGTCCATGTGCTTCTTCGCAGGAGGAAGGTTTGTCTCAGTTGCGTCCCTTCGGAGGTATCTGTCTATTCCTACTATCAGAGATTTCCAACGAGGGGTGGATGGTCTCAAGTGGCAAAGTAGCTAGTGTAGGCTATCTCGTTGATAATCATTCAGCCCAGACCGATGACGTTTCCGACTCCACCTAGGTGGGCGAGGCCATGCCGAAGTCTGGAGTATGCCTTCAATTACCCACAGGTGGCCACTCGTCAGCAGTCCTCTTTCCCTCAAAACTACATTACGGAGTTTGCATTCTTTCAGATAAGACAGGTGCTTTTCTCCGACAGGTGGATCGAATCTGTTGAAAGATATGTACTGCAGGTAGTTAGAAAGGCTCATATCCGTTGGTAGCTTCTTGATGTCGGAAGGGTTTCGAAGAATCTCTCCGTTGAGGAGATACATTGCAAGCAAACAGAGCTCGACATTGTAGGAACTCTTTGACACCTCTTGTAAGACAAGGCGGCGGGCGTAGTCGCAGCTGTTCGCTGCGATAGGTAGACGATCGAAAGGCTCCCCTGCGCTTCTACGCATTATATCTGCGAAGATCCTAGGAGACATTGCCTTTCGTCTAGCATCACGCTGGAAGTGGTACTGAACGTTGTATTTTCCAAATCTTTTGAGCATTTTGGCGCATTTCTCAGACGACTTGTGGTGAGTTTCTCGTTTG